TCCAGGAATTTCTCTATTGTTTCGTTCCCGTCACCGAGTTCATTAGTCGTAGATAAAGTTTCCAAGGCGTTAAGGTCAATGTTTTCGCTAGTATCTACGGGATTTCGCGAATGTGTGTCTGCGGCTTGGTTTTTCTTTCCTTTTTGAGATTTTAAAATACAATCAAACTCTTCGAGTTTGAGGCGCGAATTAAGCGACTATTTGGTTCTTTTAAACTTGGAAGTCAGATTAAGGGTTTATGGTCCGTGAGAACTTTTGTCCAAACAAATATGGTCTAAAGTATTTACGACCAAATACAATTGCTAGCAGTTCCTTCTCGATGGTCGAATAGTTTATTTCCGCGGGGTTTAACGTTCTGGATGCATAACTAATTGGGTGAACATTTTGCGATAATATTGCTCCTATAGCATAATTTGATGCATCAGTTGTTAATTCGAAAGGTTTGGTAAAATCGGGGTACGCAAGTACTGGTTCTGATTTTAGTATATTTTTACAATGTTGGAAACAATCCACAAATTCTTTGGAGTGCATTACTTTCTGGTTTTTCTTTAGGCATTGAGTTAATGGTTAATCTTCGCGAAATTTTGTATAAATTTACGATAATATCCGAGCAAGCCTAAAAATTGTTTAATTTCTTTTTGTGTACGGGGTATCGCGAATTTTTGAATGGCCACGATCTTTTTCGGGTTTGGTTTGATGCCTTCTGGCGTTACTACGTGTCCTAAAAATTCGATTTCTTTTCTTAGGAACTCGCATTTGTCCAGTTGAATTTTTAATTTTGCATTGCGTAATTTCGAAAATACAAGGCGCAAATTTTGAATGTGTTCCTGCAAGCCTGTACTAAAAATAATTATGTCGTCCATATAGACCATACAAATTTTATTCTGAAGATCTTTAAGTACCGCGTCCAAAACGCGTTGAAAAGTACTCGGCGCATTTTTCAATCCAAATGGCATTCGGAGATATTCATATTGTCCGTTTTCCACGGAAAACGCTGTTTTTTTTTATCGAATTTTGTGCCAACTCAATCTGGTGAAAACCGTTCGCTAGGTTTAAAGCCGAAAAGTATTGTGATTATCCTAACTTATCTAGTATATCAGAAATGTTTGGAATGGGGTATCGATCGTTGATTGTTTTAAGGTTTAATTTACGATAATCTATTACTACGCGCCACTTTTGTACGTTTGAAGCATCGATTTTTTTTGGAACGATCCAAATGGGTGAGCTCTAAGGGCTCGTTGAAGGACGGATTATACCTTTTCCTAACATTTTATTTATTTGTTTATGATGAAATAACTTTAAGAAAATTGAACAACAACCCCGGAATTATGCCAGTAGAATTGGGAAATGCAAAATCAATCGAATACACTTACACTTTAATCCATTATTTAACAATAAATAAATTATATTTAAAAAAGGAAAATATCTCAAAAATAATATCTAGCCACCCGGGATATTACAATAACGATAGTCAAAATTATATTAAACTTCTAAACATTTTGGAATCTAGGATTGAAAATAAAATTATAGAAATCCTTCCGCATCAAAAAAGATCTAAGAAAGGGCTAATAAATGTACTCGGATCTATTTTTAAAGCTATTACAGGAAATCTTGACGCATTTGAAGGCGAGCATTATGAACAGCTTATTAAAAACTTGCAGCGGAACCAAAATGAGTTAGCCGAAGGCATTCTAAAACAAAATTCTTGATCCCTTAACAGGTAAAATTCCAATATTCCAAAATTGATCATCAAACAAATAATTAGTGATGTCAGATCAATCAACCTTAGTACTCAGCCAATATTATTTCCTGATCTGCCAGATATTCGAACACAACCAAGCCAGACGGATTTAACTGTCAAATTAAATGAAGTTAGACGAACTAAACCTTTTAAAGGATGAAATTCAGTTAAATTACCCACTTCTGAAGTTCTCGGAATTTTACAAATATCCGAGCATACATGGCCATAATCAGTTTGTGTCTATTTATTTGCTATAGAAGATTGTTACAGCCGAGATGTACCAAATCCAGCAAGAAACAGGAGCAACAAGTCGAAGAACCTAAAAATGTGTTCAACTGCCCCTCTTGACGGTATAGTTGAAGCTTACGGGGGAGGAATTATCTCACTAGCGAAGATCCAAGAATGCTGACCCAGCAGAGGCCTATTTCTACATATAAAAACGTAGTTTAACGGCGTTGACGCAGAGTTCTGTCTAGATATGTTATTGTAACAGACAATTTTAAACGGTTGTAAATTTAAATAAAGTTTTTAAAAAAGGCAACGGTCATGCTGAGTAGTTAATTCATTAATTAATTCTGAATGCGTTTCCAATATTTTTTTTATGGAAATACTGGATATTTCAAATACCGTTAAATATTATAAAAAATCTTTATTAGAAAATAAAGAAATAAATATTATTTTATTTAATCATTTCAATTCAATTAATATTAATTTAATCATATTTATAACATGAGTAACATTACATAATCGAAAAAATATGCATTACTGGCGCTCTAAAAATAAACCTTTTGAGAATGTCAGGCAAACAAAACAAAATAGAAGATCGATTAAAGTTTGGTGCAGCATTTTATTAATAATTTTATTAAACCTCTTATTCGCAACATTATTCCGGAAATAGAACAACCAAATTTAATTTGGTACCAAGATGGCGTCCTTATAAGTGAATTTTTAAATGGAAATTTTAAAATGTTAGAAACTTAGACTGGTCAAAAGGGAACCATTTTGTAGCTACCAAGGAGCAAAAATTTATGGACTGAACTTGTTTTTGTGGGGCACTTGCAAAGAAATATTTTACAACAAATTCGGGCTGGAATTAATCAACTAAATGCGACCAATTATATATTAAATGCCATACTTGCACACTTGAGTTGTTCAAAATTTTAAAAATAAAATATTTTTACAAAAAACATTAGAGATGCATTCAGAATTAAGGTTAATTACGTTAATATATTTCGTCCAGACCAGTGTTTCATATATATCCTTGGATTCATTCTTTAAAATGCTATCTCAAAATGCAAAAATGTACATGGTTGATTTAAAAAAATTAAGAGAAGCAACATTTCGAATCTAATAAAAATATTTCAATTTTTAATATTGAATGAGAAAAAGTATCATTTTCTAAAATATGTATGATGTTAATATGCAACGTAACAAAACCTTTTCTGTTTACAGAGAACCTACACTAACCAAAATGCATTGTCACATGAACATCTCGCCCAAAAATCACCGGTTATCAACTTTCTTGTTTACAGAACCTTAAAACTATCTCAACCCGAGACATACTTTCCATATTAGAGATATTAAATGCTCCATCATAAAATGCAATTAAATGCTCCATCATAAAATGCACTTCACCACAACCTTCCAAAAACAATCAGTTCGAAAGCAACCCCAGTTGCCACTGTTGTCCTTCGTCACATTCAAGAAAACATCTTGCGTCCGTCAAAGACAAATTTCTGTTTGACACACCAGTAGTTTACAACATTTACCGGATCGGACAGCAGTTACTGATCATCAAATCTTATTCGATAAAAACTAAAATTCCTGCATGTAATCAATTCTCCTATTAACGAAAAATTCGAAAGTCTATAGAAATCTAGAAACCAAGCAATCTTAACAGCGACTTTTACGAATATGGGAATCAGCAAGTCAATTTATGCCCCTCATTAGCTCCGACCCCTTAAATAATATATAAGCAGGTACAATGTAGAATGCGAGCCAGTTTCATGTGTAAGTTTAATAAGGACAAAGTGATGGTTTCTAAGCAAAAAGTTACGCTTCATATAAACATCTCGTTTTCGACACATTTGTAGCTCAACGAAAACTAGTCCCAATTTTAAAATTGGGCTGAGGTAAGAAGTAGAGTATATGCAGCATATTGATAATTTAGTCATTTTTTTCAAATAGTTCTTGCATTTCTGCAATTCATCCTCCCGTGTAGCCATTTCATGTCGAAGTGATATTTGGGAAAGGATTTCAACCAAAGTCCAGCAACTTTTTATTTCGTTTTAATTAAAGGTAAATCGTGTGTGTATACATACGTGTTAGATTAAAAGTATGGAAAATGCTTGTAAAAAAATATCACAAGTTTCTGATAGAATTGTTCAATTTATGGAAGAAAGTGTATACGGTACAGGAATACGGACAAATAACTCAAAAAGGCATATTTCTAGGATATAAAACGCAATCGTTCCATACTTTTTACTCACACTATATATACCGGACGATCCGAAACCAAACCGATAGTCGAAAACAGCGATCTCTGTTGATTGCAAATCGCTTTTACCAACAGTTTTTTTTAAAGAATGTTTTCAAAGGGGGAATGGCTTTTTTTAAACTCTTTATTAGTTTATCTAGAACAGTCACGCTTTGGTTATGTGAATAGATTTTTCTATGTGAATTTCTTATGTGAATACATTCTTCTAATGTGGATCTTTTTGTCAACTGGAATGCTTAGTGTGTTAAGAAAAACTAAACCTGAATCATAAAAATATATGACAAAACATTAAAATTGTTCGTAATAATTTATAGTAGGTATTATGTTAAGCGTGACTAGCATTTTTATTCCGTACCCAGAGCCAACTAAATAATAACAAATTCTATGTAATGTTACAGTTTCATACAAAATGGAGATCCAAATTTAAAGTTCATGACACACCAAGGTTTATTTTTTAAACTGACGCATTTTGATATTCTGCCTTTTCATTCACCATTTTAAGTAAACTGATTTAAACAAAAAAGTCAATATACTTCATTACTAGGGGTTTGCTACGCCAAATCGATATCAAATCATTGATAGACTTTTGCCTCGGTTTTGCGGATTAATTTCGGGATAGTCGGTATTCATATATAAATATATTATATACACACATAATATATATATATATATATATATATATATATATATATATATATATATATATATATATATATATATATATATATATATATATATATATATATATATATATATATATATATATATACAAAACATACAAGTAGTAACAGAAAAGTAAAATAAAATATTGCAACATATTAAATACATAAGTAACATAATTATCTAAAAAAAAAAAATAAGCAAGAATGGCAACATTACGAAACTAATAACGACCGATCACAAATTTCGGACACTTAGGTATACAACAAACGAATTTCCGCATACGTACGGTCATATTATAAACTACCATTAAGCTACAAAAATGAAAAAAAAAAAACACTAATTCACTAATTAACTGCGAAAATATTTTACAATACGGGCTTGAAATTAGATAACCAAAATTCATTTTTGATCAAACGCCAATTGCACATACACGGACGCTATTTCTACAGAGGTTGGTCCAATTAAGCGAGCCTTTTTCCCGTTAACTGGCCGCTTTAAGACACGCTTGCACTCATTTAGGCAAGGAAAAATCAGTTTTAAGTACATCAAACATGTTAGCAAATCATTTCCGCGTCTTGAAATTTTTCATGGTCATGTGACGAGTCAAAGTATCGACGTTTTCAAGACAAAACGACATAAGCGCCAAAAAATTGAAATTTAAGCCTTAAGTGTAACTATTATTTTCATTAATATAGATTAATCATTAAATATACATCGATATCAATAATAACACCATTACTTTTAGTGGTATCAACTAACAGCTCAATCATTTCGAACAAAATGTTAAAGCGAACTAGTATCTTTATGACCTATTTTAAAGTTTCATTTGACTGTTATTATTGGTATTTTTTTTAATTTAAATTTATACATGACTGTTTTTTACATTTTTCCAAGAAAGGCAAAAAAGGATTTGCCTTGCCCCTGCCATTTTGCAAAGAAATGGTGCTAGGTAAAAAACAGCTACAACAGAACCCAACTAAACACTGACAACTGCTGTAATATTAGATTAAATATAATAGCTCGTGAAAATGAAGTGTTCTTTGAATACATTAGAATAGTAACAATAGATAACGAAATTATCTATTGACAATAATAATATACCAATAAAAATCAAGTTTCACCTCGATAGCAAGTTATCTGAAAGATACGGCGCCAAGGTATAAGGGTAAATGCAGCAAGGCAACAAGTTAAAATAAAGGTTGGAGTACCTCAGGACTCAATACTTGGACCAATATTGTTCATCTTATATATAAATGATTTGTTGGTTTTGCAAAATAACTTAATAGTATATGCGGATGATACTGTATTGCCAAAGCAAAATCATGATCCGAACTTTCGACAGCCATGTCATGAACTCTGGATATTATATACTCCTAGTTCCATCAAAATAAACTGCTAGAGTAGTAGTAGCAGTAGTAAATAACTAGGAATAATTTACGACTATCATGTAAAATGGACTATCCACATGGTTAACACAGACATAGACATAGACTCAAGGAAATACTAACATGAAAGCAGTTATTAGAAATTATTATAGCCTTTCTACAGTTCATGGTTCGACCCCCGATTAGATTGATTATCAACAGGTACCCCTTTGTCAGGTGAAATATATTAAGAAGTTAAATTCTTTCATCGTCAAATAACCCTTCAAAATGGGGAATTAAAAGCGAGTTCAGGGTGGCTTCAGAAATTCGACCAGGTTTGGTAAGACAATCACGAGTATCACTTTCCAGCAACTCCGATGCAGTAGACCCGTTGAAAAATCTTAAAATAGACCAGATTTACAACACAAACACAAAAAATTCACTCAAGGGCAAAGGAAAGGGTCCATATCGAGTTTATGCCGCGTTAAATTTACCTCAAAAAGTGCTTCTAATTTTAGATAACGCTCTAGGTCATCCTGACGATTTAACGAGAGATGACAACCAACCGTTATGTATATGCCCTCCAATTGCACGTCATTAATGCAATCTATCGATCAGCATGTTATTGAACCCTTGGAGCTTTATTGCCGAAAACAATCTTTGATTGGGAACCGGGTATTCCTACAACACTCAAAAACATTAACTTGAAGGATTTTGTCCACTCAATAAAAAAAACCATGGATGAAGCCTATCTTACCTCAGCTTGATGATGAAGATTTCATACGTTGTCAGTTTTTGATATGTACTCTAAAAGGGCTAACTGAACTAAAATTTATATAAAAAAAGCAGCCGAGGACAATTTTAAATTAAAGAGGTTGAAGATTGCGCAACAGCAAGAAATGAGACGGCGATATTTTTGACAGATGCTGATACAATCAACGAGGTTGCAGATAAAGAATCTAGCTCCAGTGAGGATGAAGTTCATTCAAATGTTGTTAAACATAGTAAAGCAGCTTTTAACACTTGTAAAAAACTATCGACCTTCTCAATAAAGCTGTCGATAAAGAGATGAATTTGAATAAACCAAAGTCAATTGAAGATTGTATTCTTCTGTTTTTACAGACTTCTTTTTTATTTTGTAAATTCAAGTTATGTGCTTTGTTTTTTTTCTACATTCACTTTTTTATTAAGTACTTGTATATATTACGTTTTTTTTCATAATTATGTACTGTTTTTAAATACTAATTTTCTTTCAATATGTTAAATAAAACACCTGAGCTCTAATATAGAATAGTTTCAATAGCATGCTCCTATATATCTGCAAATCTATTTCATATACGTTATCTACTGTTACATGCAATTCTCCCGATTACAGATGTTGCACTGTATTTCTTTTAAGTGCCAAAATAAAAAAATCATTTTTTTGGGGAAAAGAAAAAACTTAAATAGTTATTCCAAATTAGACGTTTTTTTCTAGTTGTCGTTTTGACTTGAACCCATCGATATAATTTTATCCTTTAAATAGAAAGATTAATGGTAAGTTAGTTAACTGTTAAGCCACAATACAGTCACAACTGACGCTATGTTGAGACAGGAAAATATTTTGCATACATTTTCAGCGACACTAACAACATATTTTTACTTAACACATACGATTCCCGATACAGTAGACATAGCAGTTTGGATAATACGAATAATATTGAATATCTTAAAAATAGACTTTTTCTCTTAAAAACTCTTTACATCGTAACAGCGGTTATTCGGTCTTATTGTAGAAACGTTGACAAAAACCCACTGACAAAAACAGGCACGTGACATTAGGCGAAGTTATCTCTCCCCAGCCGACAGAGCGTCCGGGTTGCAAGTTTAATAGGCACATACTTTTTTTTATTGTACCGGATTGAGTGAGAAATATCAATTAATACAAAGATTCTTTGGTCGAAAATATTGTCACCTACAAAATTCCACACGCGAAAAAAGGGTAATGGGCAGCAAAATTTATTGTCATTTATTATTAAACAATACCATTTTTTCAATTTAAGTAAAAGAGCATTTTTTTATACTCAAGACCATTCAAATTTTTAAACGATTTAGAAGTCAAAAAGAATTTACAAAAAAGCAGTGAATAGTTATCGATAAAATCGAGTCCCGAAGGCGTGTTACTTTTTTGTTTTTGGTTTACTGGCAACTTTTTAAAGTACTCATTAATTTTCGGCTTAGGAGTTGCGGAAACATTTCACCGCTGACATTAAATTAAAAAAAAATCACTGAGATCACAACTTTGGTTTCGTTCGAATTAGCTTTTTGTATCCCAGTACCCAAATACATCCGACACAAAAGGCACGAAAAGCGTACCTTCCTCGCAAAATCGAAAAAAAAAAGAAAACATATTCAAATTTCAAGCCGAGGTAAATGACAATATTTTTAATGCTTTCCTTCCGCCAAAAGACGCTCTATACCACTGTCCTAATATCGGCAACGAGGTAAGGTATTTGAAAAAACTTTTAGTAAGTAAATTGGCCAAGGATAGTTTTTCCTATTTCTAAATTTTCTATTATTAACCATAAACCGAATATACTATTTTAAAGCTGAAGCAAATTGAAATCCTTTTTGTTTACTGCTCTTTGCTCTATCACTGCAAAGATAGTACTGAGGAGTGTGAGAACATTATCGAAAATAAATGTCCACAGCTGCAAAAAAGCTTGACGTATTTTAAAAAACTTGGTAAAATTTGTCACCAGGTGGCGTTTTAAAAAGATAAAAATAATACTATTTATTCATAATTTTTATACTAACATATATAAATATATTTCCAGTTTCTGGGTGGTTATAAATATATATGTCGTCCAGTATTTATTAAATAAAACGCTATTAATAAATTTATTATTTAGGATGTCAAATGAAAATCAAAATAAAATGCTATTTATATTTTACTTTTTTGTAATACTTTGGAAGTCCATAAAATTGCCCGTTTTCAATCAATTTATTATTATCACTTATTATGTCATTAAAAATTGGATTTAGTAAACTAATCACAATTAATTAATTGTTAGACAAACCTGTTTTATTAATTATTATACATTAGTAAGTAGTAATTTTTTGTACGGTGCATTTGAGAGGTATAGCCACTTAGATTGTCAGAATTTGAGAAACATCATAAGGGATATTGGTCTAAAAAGTGTTATAACAGTTATTTGAAAATGATGCCGGATTGAGCGATTTAAAGCCCTAGATAACGAAATTCAGATGTTTTTGTATAAAACTCAAGGTGAACAAAATGCAAGTAAATATAAGGAAAAGGATATTTATATTAATATTCATTACACAGTTTCAAAAGAAACACTATTAAAATTTGAGGTGTTTCGATTGCATTTTTAATTTCTTCTAAAATTAACATTCATGTGCTTACACATTTTTTGAATCTATTAAGATGGGAAAAATATATTATGTATTGTAATGTATGTGTAATTTTGTTAAAAAGAGCTCTCTAAATGGACACATGTAGGTGAACATTTTTATTTAAAAAAAATTGGTTGTTTGGGTGGTTCTTGTAATCGATCTAATTCAATAAAAACACTAAAACAAAAAGTTTTGCTATGATTTTAGGCAGGTTGTTATGCAAAAATTAGTTTTATAATAATTGTTAGGATACCAATCCTGTTGGAATTATGAACTCTACGTCCATAATCTACAAATAAGAACATAAAACATTGTAAACAAAGCTCTCAACATAACCTATATATAATTTTTTTAACTACTGTTTGACGCGCTACTATAGGAATCGTTAAAAGAAAAACCACAAATTACAAAACAGCCTGTATGATATAAAAAAAAATTGCATTTATGGTGGTGCATAACTCGAAGCACTTTTAACGACTGCAAGTTTACTAAAACGTACTAAGCCTTTCTGGAGATATCAACAAGTCAGAGAGACAGCGTTAAGCATTAAGCAAAAAAGATTTTATTATGTTCCAGTTTTAAAATAGTACTAACAAAATTTTTTGATGGCAGCTAGTCCGCCCTGGCGGCCATTTCAGACACTAATCAATAATTTGACCGATTGACCCAAAATTTTTGTTCTAATTTCTAGGGACGTCCGTTTTTTTAATACCGTACTTCGTCGCCCTTACTGAGACACTCGATTTTCATTACCAACGGATGAAAAAAAAAAAAAGGAAATAGCGAACTTGAACAAAAAATATATATAAACATCCCTTTTATAAAAAAAAAATATTTTGTCTTGCGTTTGTAATACGAAATATTTCGAATTATTTTACTAGAATTAATAGTTCTACGGGACGAGATTTTGTGACACCTGCCCCGTCACCGTTTTCAGTATTTTGGTAAATATAAACGTTTAAATTCTTCACCGCGAACGGGCAATTTAATATCACCAATGACGCCCTCGTATCCACTAGATAAAAAAAAACTCTTCCGCAGACATTTCAAACGTACAAATTAAAAGCCGTCATTAAAGATGGTTTTTAATTTGTATCTTTCAATAGCGGTCGTAGGACATCCAGTGTAATGTGGAAGAGTCGCACGGAAAGCGTATTTATTATGCGCAAAGTCCCACCTGTTACGCTAAATAACGGCAAATTATCGACAACAAACACAATTTTCAATTTTCACGGCGGCTAAATCGTTCGTCATCGTGGAACTGGTTTCTCGCACGTGGGAAAATGAACTCGCGGAACAACCACCGGACACGAAGGAAGTGTCGGTCGTTTAATTCGGTCTCCGCCACAGATCACAGTTAGATTCGTGTATCCAACCACTAATCGCATCGGGAGCGAATTAAACACCGAACCGTATTCGTTGTGTTTGACGCTGTAGCTGTTGATGGTCACATTTTTCTCTCCACCTTTAACACGTTACCAAAAGCCCTCGGTAAATCGAGATCTGCGGTGGATGGACGACGAATGCCAGGCTCTATTCCATGCTTCCCTAGGCGACGCAAGAGCGTCGACACCACAGTTGTTTAGTACAGTTGTCACTTTTTGAACCAAGTCCTAGAAACATAAGAACGTAGATATATTTTTTATTTTTTAATAATACATACCTAAACTCAATGTTTTTCCAATATTTTAATTTTTCTAAAAAATTAGGTACTAGTTTTCACACAATGGAAAAAAAATACGATAGCGCATATTTGATATAAGCGCAATTGGAAGATGACGTAAAAGATATATATAACAGAATTTGAATTAGGTGCTACAGGGTGTTCAAAATAAACGCATATATTTGGACTTTCTAAGGCGAAGGATTCTAATAGACGTATACCAATTAGAAAATCTCTTCAGTGGTAAATGGAGTGGTCGTATTAAATATGAAAAACGGAAAGTGGAAAACCGGAATAGTACCAATGAAGAAGAGGAATTGGAAATAACCCCCAGGTCAGTTGCCAATCAGTGATACATGCCAATCTACCGTTAATCTCACCACTCTAAAGCCCAATCCCTTTCCTTATGGAACGAAGAATTCCTAGACCCGTAATTTTGAACAAAGGCAAAACTTCCGCGCCGTTATAAATAAAGCAATAGAGCCGATAAAATTTTTTTCGTTAACCTAGATATTTAAACCTTTTGCAGAATGATTTACCTCAATCTCTTGAAGAAGTCGATAACATTGAGATCCAACAAATGTGGTTTCAACAAGATGGAACTCCTCCGCATTACTACTGAGAATATCGAGAATGTTTAAATAATCATTACACGCAGAAATGAATCGGATAGCCCCCTTGATCCTGTTACTTAACATCACTAGATTTTTCTTTTGTGAGAATATGTTAAAGATCGGGTTTACGTGAATTCCCTTACAACACCACAAGCACGTCCAAGAAATATACGAAAAAGACATCCAAGTAGAAAGATATATTTCCGAACATTTATTAAGCCTTAACAATAATTAAGGACAAGATAAGTTAACTTGTAGTAATAGGTAATTCATATTACTTACTTTGTTTGTACATTTAAAACTTTTAAGTTATTCTCACCAAAACTGCTATACCTACGGCTCCAACAAAGTTCTTTTCCCTGTTCATTTTTTAACCTTAACAGAGCCCTGTTTGCGATTAGTTTTGGTCTTAGACAGAAAGAAGGGTAAATATTGGCAAACTTAAAATAAATCGCAAAGTATTAAAGGTAGGTATATAAAAGGTATAGCGGTTTTTGTAAGATCTTTGGCAAAAAATAATAAAATGTGCAAATATATTCGTTGCGTTACGTAATTTTCAAATAATGCTAATACAAATACGAGTGATCTACCTGGAAAAATAATGATGTTATCGTAATTTTTGTGTGAAAACTAGTATTTTTTTAGAAAGTTTAAAAAATTGAAAAAACTATTAGGTAGGTATGTACTACTATTAATAAAAAAAGTTGAAGAATTTCAAAACGCTGCCCTATATATTTTAAAATAATTTTAAATTGTACATCAGACCAATCTTTATAACTTTTGTATTCGTGATTTTCTCATAACTTTGGAAACCAAGCTCCCACAGTGAATGCTCGCACAAGTCAATCAAATTTTTTTCTAGCGAATTTTTTGCAGGTTAAAAAATAGATGTCGATACCATACTACTAGTCTTTCAAAACTTGTAGAAAAAATTTGTGAATTGTAAAATTAAGGAACATTTAAGAAGCTTTAATATATTTAAAAGCACCAGTCTGCTTTTAAACCAGGTTAAAGTTGTGCAACTGCGTTAAGCATAACCGATGACATATTTCGAGCTGCTGATGTTGGTAAGGCAACTTGTGCTGTTGGATTATTCTAAAGCTTTTGACAAGTTAAACCATTAGTTACTTTTAGCGATTTTGTACTTTGTTGGCGCCTCGGAGAGCGCGAATTGGACTTATTAGAACCTATTTGCGAAATTTGTACAAACTAGAAAAGGCATATCATCTAGCGAAATATCATCTTGTGGGGTACCTCAAGGCTTAATTTTGGGCAGCTTCTTTTTTCCACTTACACTTGTAATTTGAGTAATTGTTTACGTTATGGTAGTGTACATTTATACGCAGATGATACACCCAGCTTTTTTCCGCCCAACGAAACAGTAGCCACCCAAGAAAGGTTAAATGAAGATCTAAAATGCTTAGTCACATTTCAATTATAATTAATTATAATTATTATTATACTTAATAGAGTATTATACATATTCAATATCGTTCATATCTAGTAAATAAGTTTAAATACAGAACCGATTTTCATAATTTGAACTTTAGAAAGATTTTGGAGTTATCTCTCACCTCTTCTTCGTTATACCTTACTTTATGGAACGTCTGAAGAAAGGTCGTCTTCTTAGAGCCCTTATATACTACGCAATAGTGTTCCTAGAAAATTTAAATCTTTGATGGTCAATTTAAAAAAAAATATAAACAGCACCCCCAATTCTAAATACGCATTTAAATCCTGTTTTGTTTTCTCTACCACTTATGTTGTTAATCCAAAATCTAATATAAGTATCATAAAACTCAACTCTTATTTCAGTCTACACATATAATTCTGAGGATTTATTATTTTTTTCCCGATTATACATACTTTTTTTGCTGAACTTGGATCAATTCTCAATTGCTTTCAGTCCCTTTTTGGGAATAATTATTTTTTATTATTATGATTATTCATTCTGTGTCAAATTTCACGCATATCATTAATTTGCCTTATTTCGCATCTAATTCTAAATTTTCAATCATCTCAATTTTTTCCTTGGTTTTTCCTTATATAATTTTCATTTTAAATATCCCCAGACGAAAAAATTCAGGGAGGTAATATCGGGAGACCTTGCATGCCGTTGATCCCTTTCTACCAATCCACTGTCTGAGAAATACCGTATTTAAATATTTTAAATATTTTAAGATTTTAGTATACTAATCATTAGTAGACTGAATCTTGCTATTGTTATACTGTTTATAATCCAAATAAACACCTTTATTATTATTATTATTATTTCAAAGTTCTGCCTGAGATGCAATTTATCAAATAAAAAAAATCAACTGTTAACAATTTTGTGCAGGTATTTGTTTCACCCCGTAGCGGGTGTTATGGGTGAGTTCAAGTCAATCGTGTAAAGTTTACCAAACCATATAGCGTTTTACAAACTTTTATGGTTTTGACTTCGGAATGAGTTTAAGACACAGCCGTTGTAAAGCGGAAGGGACAATTTTTTTTAGCACGTGTACCACAAGCCAGGGCCGTACCTAAGCTGTTAGCAGACAAGAACTGTGCCGTGGGAACTGTTGCATTTTAAGAGTTGGGAAATTTTCTTTGATTGAACTATTAATTCATATTAGTGTGCTTTTTATAAATGTTCCTAAAACAGTCAATACTTGAGGTAGCTCGATTTCAAGTCGTTGAATTAGAAAGCTTAAACTGATTTTCAATTTAAGAATTTAACATAATGACTCTAAAATAATTTTTCATATCATCATATGACACCTGGTTTGATAGCTACGATACCGCCAAGAAAGGAAGTTCCTAGGACGGGAACGTTTGACAAAAAGTATAATGTGGAAATGGAGCGGGAATTCTATTGTCCGTCTTCCATACCCAACACTTCGTCGAAATTTAGTTCTGGGACAACAGAATTAATTAGAAGCGAAGTAGAAACATATCTGCTTTTAGATAAAAAAAATGTGTAGAACATGTCATCGAAGAAGGAAATGTTTACAGAAGTTGACTAGTGCCAGAATTAATTATCAATGTGATTGTTTTGATGTAGAATAACTTTTTTTTATAAATTTAGTCCTTCATTTATATTTATAATAAACATTTTAAAGTAAGAATGTATTTTTCACTGTATCTCACCGATAAAACTCTACACAAATCCGTCAACTTTCAGCATTTGTATGCACGAAGTACCGAATGGAACGTCATTGTGGAATTGCGAATCTAATTATTCAGGGTGACAAAGAGAAACCCAAGCGAGGTAGGCCTGGGGTTAGACCTTCGTAAAAATTTACCAAAGTAAAATACCGGATTATATTGTAAAAACGGTATAGCGTTTGGAGCTAACAGTGACTTAGCCTCATGGACTTTCCGCTTGAAATGAAACTGAATTAATATTCACAGTTCTTGCATAACATGCGAGAATTTTAAGTATTTTTTTAAGGGGTTTTATGGAAAAAGTTGGTCGGTACTGAACTGTACAACCGAACGCGAGAGATATGATACAGAAATAATACAAAACGGACACACTAAACAACCAGTATTGTAATAATAAAAAAAATTTCTTAATAAAATTACAACGAAAAGAAAGGAAAAACCTAAATAAGCAATAAAAGCCGTCTATGACAAATGAAGAGTGCTGATCAAAATAATGTCATTAAGTTTGGTATGTAGGGTTAGAATAATATAACGTTTTCCGATATCACTAACGCTAAGCAAAATATCCGCGTTTAAAACTTAAATTTCCGTTGAGTACCTAAAAAATGTGACCGATCAATCTGTGTGAATGTGCAAAACTTCAAGCCTGTCTTCATCCTAAATGGGACAAAGTTTGGAACCAGGACTTCCTATGAGACGTTCACCTACCCTACTCGCCACGAAACCAAACACACGACTTACCCCCCAATATATTACGATACCGAGCTGATGGCGTTGTGAGGCGACCCCATCTGGGTCAGGACCTTGTCCAGCCATTGCAACGGTCCGTGAAGGTGAATCTCGATCCAGCAGGGGGTGCTGGTCACGTCTTGTCTGTGGTATTCCGCGCCCCAACCCTTGACGAAGCTCATCCGGATCGTGCACATTTTGGTCAGTTCGTAAACGGCCTCGAAACCGTGATTGACGCACTGAGACAGGAGCTGAGCGAACTCGGCGTTGTTGAATATCCTCAAGGAACAACCGGCTGGTATTTTGCACACCGTCGAATGATGGAAACCGTGGTGGTGGTTGCAGTTTCGCGACTGCACGAATATAGGTGAATCCGAGAGACATTCGGCGTATACCTCGCCATTCACGTAGTACAGGTGGACACCTTGAATGGGAACGTGGAAATACCGGCATTAACGAAATCATTTTACACACGCCACTTATTTACATTGACAAGCACATTAATGAAAAAATGGTTAGCGCGACACCAGAAAGTGTTTGGACGCGATTTTTTGGGTCCATTTTAAAAAGAAAATTTCATATGAACATATGTTCCCAACGTCTTAACTTTTGAGGGTGGTACCACTTTAATTATTAATTAAATACACCAGTGGCGGGTGAACGAAATTTCACCTGACAGATATTGATAAATCAATCATTTCTAAAGAAATTAATTTCTTCATTTAATATCGCTAAAATGTCGGCATGCAGAGAATTATTATCATTATTTGTCTCTCTGTTTTATTAAAATATTGTAAGACCAAAATTATTGTGCATTTATTGCTTTGACGTTTTAAGTATTTTACTGTACCTTAACCGCAGACCTTTCCAGGACCGTGGTAAAACCCATTACAACAGATGTTTATTCTGCATTAACTAGGTCTTGCCTTAGATGGACCGTAACGAATATTTATAGAAACTTGAAATTATTATTTGAAATGTAAATATAGCGTTTTTAATTTGAGATTAATCTAAATTGCAATATATTCGTATATGATACGGAGGTATTAGAATGTGATCCTTCCAGTAAGTACGTATTTATGTATGTTCTGTTCATAGATATAAAAAAGTGACCAATTGCTTTTGCAACAAGATTATTACCTAAAGTTTCGAACTTTAAATTCAGGTAAAATTGTGCTCCGTAATAGAAAACAATTTTATACCTACCTGTGTTTAATATTCATTGGTTTGGTATACTACTTAGTTTAAGTTTATTCCTAATCATTCTTATTTCATGTGTAATACAGCGTGTGTTGAATCGTTTGCGAATTATGCAAAATATGTGTGAGTCTAGTATATCTCAGGAGATGCTCCCGCCCCAAGTATTGAGACTAAGGAAATTATAAACAATGTTTATTTGACTCTCATTGAACGTGGTGCCAGCAAGCATCTTTAGAGGAAACGGCCAAATTGATGAAAATTTTCAGCGATGAAAAAAAGATGCGATGCTGACATTTTCTTGAGTGTAGATGAAAGCGATCAAGATATAATACGACGTAAAATTTACCAGTTATACGAGGAACAAAGCGTGCCTACATTAGATAACTTAATTAGGAGGCTTGAAAAAGATGAAACCGGCGTTAAATGTGGCAGAACTATCTTATGGAAGTGTATTCAACACATGGGTTTTAGATTTAAAAAAATTGACAAAAGGCAAGTTTTAATGGAAGCTTAAGGAATTCGGAAATGGCGACTGGAATATCTAGGAAAAATTTGGATTTACAGAGATCAACAAAGGCCAATTATTTACTTGGATGAAACCTGGTTCGACACTTATGATACCCCGAAAAATGGTTGGGTTGACTCAACTGATAAGTGTAAAATAAACGCGCCATCAAAAAGAGTTAAAAGAATAACTATTTTGCATGCTGGCTCTAAAGATGGTTGGATTCCAAATGGATTTTCTCTGTCTGCGAAAAATATTAAAGATTCTTCTCTGGATTGCAATGAAGAAACCACCGCTGATTTATTTGAAAGTTGGTTTAAAAACAAACTAGTTCCAAACATTCCTCCTAATAGCGCAATTGTAATGGACAATGCTAGTTATCAGAGTAGACAGTTGACTAAAACCCCTTTCTCATGTGACACAAAAGCAACAATCCAAAACTACATGTACAATAGCGACATTTATTTTCACGAAGATTATACTAAAAACCAATTAATTGAGGTTCTACAAAGCTTGAACCTACAAAAAGAATACGTCTGTGATAATTATGCAAAAAATCTACGGCATACAGTTTTAAGGCTTACACCTTACCATTGTATATTTAATCTATTTGAACATGTTTGGCACCAACTGAAATCTGCCATTCGTCGTAACAATGTTTTTCTCCGTGTTAACTCCAAGGTCCTCAAACTAATAGAAACCGAAGTTTTTAACATCCCTCCATAAAGTTGGGCAAATTCTGTTAAAATATTGCAAATAATATAGAACAAATAATAATTAGAACAGGCGATGACAGCGATAGTGACACCGATATATTATGTGAATAATTTTAAGTAATTTAAGTAGGTAATAATAATAATTTGTAATTTTATTTTAGATTTAAACATAAATACATACATAAATAAATAAATCTTGTATAGTATCTTTCCTAACAAAATCCTAAATAATTAAATTCTAAGCAAAGTACGAACCTGTTCGGCCATATTTAATTCTTACAGCTTGCCCGGGTCTTTCCTTAATTCGTATCAGTAAGTTACTTTCTTATATCTATGAACAGACTTTACCTGATTCTCCAGCTTTAATTATGAGAGCCTGTTTTCACTCGATAGTTCAAAGGGTAAGGGTAAGTACCTGTACTCTATCCATCTTACAGATAAGTTTGAAAATAATCATTTTTTCTTATGTGCCTGTCGATTAACAACATTCTTCTTGTATTTTGGTGTCTTCTACGTAGTTCGTCGATTTATAAATAACAACAGTCTTTTTTAAGACTATAGATTATATTCGCGGTAGATAAAGGATAGATAGTCATAAGAATACATATAAATATATATTACAATTTTAAAATTAAATATTTTTTGAAGGTTTTTTAACACCATGGAGACCGTGGAATAAAGCAGATGTTCCCCTGTTAGAAGAAGACATGGAAAACAACGCAGAATTTGAAGACGAAGTGGAGATGGTAGTCGAACCAAATGACAATTTAGAAGACGAACTACCTCAGCAAATAATAAGAAATTCAGAAGGAGAAATAGGAGCAGCAAAAGCAGAAAGCAAGCAAACAAGTGACCTAGAACGTAATAAATTGTTACTTTGTACTAAGTTTTTTATGTACATGTTTCAAGAATTGTTCGGCGAAAAAGATTGAAAACATACTTATATCCCGGTTGTGGGTGTAGGTATGTAAATTAATAGTACGGGTCTTGGATGGTTACGGGCAAGGGTCTGCTCGACAGGGTGTTCTATAAGGCGCTGCAGTTTTGGAGTAATAAACAGTAGGCAAAGTTAATCACGGGGTCGGTTGTAAAAGCACTATAATTCTGGTCGAAGTATACTTCAAAAATTGAAGTATGAATACGAAGTAGGTATAATTATTAATATTAATTTTTAATTATTTTTTATCATTGTAGTAGGTGGCAATATGATAAAAAGAGCTCAAGGGCGTATCCTTCAAGGTGGACAACTTAACTAGTTTATATGTTCTCCTTTTTTCAAAAAATATCAATAGTAGGTAGTATTTTTGAAAAAATAAGATTCGCTTATTATTTACCTTGTTGTTACGATGTTACGCTATTTCATTAAAACTGTAAAACTAAAAAGAACGGTCTCCTAATTTCTCTAAAATTCACGATTTAACCAGTGTAGTGGCGACCTAATTAACCAAAATATTATTTGTTTATAGACAGTCAGTGGCACGCTACTGATTTTTGTAAAAAAAGACAGTTACATTCATTTATGAGCAGAATTGATCTCTTAATTTTCAAGTTTTAATTAGTCCATCGCGCGGTTTTCACATAAAAATAAAAACTTTTTCTTTTTGCATGTTGTTATATAAACGATGTTGTTATGACCATGCAGGGAAAAGGTTTTTATTCCTTTAAGCGAAAATTGTACATCCGATAAAAAAAATAAATTAAATTTGTTTAGAAATGATTGGAGATCATAAGAATAATTTATATTTCAAGGGAAATCAGTAGCGTACCATCAATGTCTGCCAAAATAGACAGGTGAAATTCGGTACTCCCGCTACTGGCATATTTAAAAAAAAGTGGTACACTAAATAATGCTTCATATGTGTCAAATTTCATTAAAATATCTAAAATGGTATGGTTATTAAAAAAATATATATTTTATTTTTGAAAATTTTATGGTCCTGTATCTCAGAAGTTAAGACGTTTAGGTCATATGTTCATATGAAGTTTTCTTCTTAAAATGAACCCAAAAATGTATACATAATTCTGCATTCAACAAACTTGACGGGCGTAATATTTACAAAACTTCGTCACACTAAGTCACTGATAAGCAATTTAAAAAAAAAATATTTTTGATATTTTCAGTAAATTTTAAGCTTTTTTTTTAATTAAATTGAAAATAAAATGATAGTATATATATATGAAAGATACCAATGTTTTTTATCGTACTAACTGTGAATAACGTGTTGACTTTTCCTGCATGATGTTCGAATAAATCTTTTAATTATGATAACAATGATTATTAGTAATAATAATCGGCAAGATCCTTCCTCACTTTCATTCCCCCAAGTTTGGTATTTTTAAGGTTATACTATACAAGGCATAAAACTTTGTTTCTAATTGGCTTTAATCCTATTTTTTTGGACGAAAAAAAAAAGTGGAATAGAAAAATTTTTCACAACTTAAAAATTATTTTTCAAGATCGTTGAAATCTGAAAAATCATTTAGACCATTTAGAGATCAGCAACTCTTGTTAGATGTGAAACCTAAATAATAAATACATTAAATGGTTTTAAAATATTGCTGTTAAGAACGGACTTTTTTCGAATGCGGTTATTTATATTAAACAAATTATATTAACAATATAACAAAAATGTGGGAACAAGTTGGGTACGTAAAATGAGCTACATAAGCAACCGTTTGCAATTTTTTTTTACAAATTGCTCTGGCAACATCTTAATCTCGATTCTGATAATACAGTGATTCATTTATTGTCGAGTTTATTATTTTAACTTAACAAGAATGGTACTTAGAGGCGAGATTTTTTAAAAATAATAAGAAATATAACGTTACTATTTGAACTGAGGAGGCTTTTACTTGATGAAAATCCATTTATCAAAATAAATAAGAACTAAAAGTTCAGATTTTCACGAAATTATATATTTTGACATGACAATTGTTTCGACAACACCGTGTCCGAACTGGTGTTATCAAATTTGATAAAGACACAGTGTTGTCGAAACAATTGTCATGTCAAAATATATAATTTCGTGAAAATCTGAACTTTTAGACATTACTATTTGCTGTCCTTCGGATGCACTCATTTTATAATTGATGAAAATTATTCCTATTCTTTTCATGATAACACTTGTAAAAACAGTAGGAATACCCGTTTGAATAGGAAAATCTCGCGAAAAATATAGGTAAAGGAACAGAAATGTCTTTGGCGGCAGTCACTTTAGAAAAAAATTCTATTCCTAAATCGAATGACACCTAAAAAATACACGATATATAATAAGCATCGTGTTTCAAAACAAATGCGAATAATTGAAGGGGTGAAGGGTAGATAAACGTTCGGTCAAAAGCCAACTATTATCTTAAAAACGAAAATGGATAGAATAATAAAATGAAAGTCTCGATGGAAATATTACTATTATAAAAGACACTTGCTGCATATACTTCATTTTAGACTGCTCCGGAGCGACAAATAAATCACCGTCCAAAATTGGTACACCAGGTTTCAGCAACTTTAAAAAATACTTTTTAGCTTATGTGGATAATTTTTGTATTCCGTAGTAATTAAAAAACTATTAAGCAAAAATATATAGAAACTACACTTAAGTGGTGAAAATTCAAAACGGCGTAAATGTTCTTTCCGAGTTTTTTTCAAAATTTTGGTTTTTTATTTAATTTTTAGATTAATTTTTTAGTTAGCAATTTCGAAGGTAATTAAATTAAAGAAATAAAGCAGAGAAAATATTTTTTTTCTCATGCTTTATAACTAATAAAGTTAAAAATTTGTTGAATTCAACAAATAATAATGTTCTATCCGTGAATCATCAGTTCATTAAAAAAAAAAGAAAATTAATACAAGTTTCAAATATTTATTTAATAACATATTCGATTTTTTTAGAGTAATTTGTTTATTCTTTAAACATGATCTAACTAATGGAAACTGCTAAAAACTCAAAATTTCATAGATTTGATAGACCTCGAACTAGGCTACCACTAAAAATATATGTTTTTTATTTTGTTATATTTATAAGCTTTTGTTTCCAGCATTTTTTGTATAATACTCACCGTTAACAAATAAAAAATTAAATCTAAAATAAAAATTAAATGTTTTTCCAAATTTATTTTTCATGATGTCATAGCGTAATTTTCTTTAACATTATAAATAGTAAGTATTTCTATAATAGTAATACTTCCGTAATATTTTATTGTTTTTTTTTAACTTCGTTTTTGAGGTAAAAAGTAAAAACATTATTTTTCGGAGGTATTTGAAGCGCGATATATCTCTAAAGATTGACTTTTGAACGTTTATATAACAAAGTACCCTTTATTATAAACCAAGAATCACCCCGTATCTCCCTTCCCTGCCCTGCCCTGTATATCATGAAACTAGGTGCATAACTAACAAAATAACTACTTATTAGTTATTAAAAGACAAAGATGGAAATAATATTATTTGATATATGGATTTCATATGTCAATATATAAATTGTTTAACTCTGCATGAAAAATTTTTGAACTAAGCTTTAGCTTTGGATTTCATTGGTTTTTTACTTATTATAGAATTTGATTCTTTTTAAAATAATGGATCCCATCCAAGAATAGTTTTTTCGAGAGTTTATACTAATAACTCACAAAGAAACACCCTATAAACATTAAACACTAAAGATAGGGATTTAAAAAAAATATATGCATTATAAGCTAAATTTTCAACCCCATGTGGCAATGCTGGTTTGAGCAGTGGTGGTGATTTTTTAATTAAGTTTAACCAATTAAACTATTGAATCGCCCCCAAAAATTATATTTACTTCATTTTCGATGCAAAAAATTCTCAGCGAGCGTGTAAAAAATAAAAATGACTTGAAAGTTTTTGCTGATGGTTCAAAATAGTCCTTTTATATTCACTTAATTTGGAAGGAATGCATCTCAATAAATTTTTTGAACTGAATTTAACTCCACTTTGTTTTGCAATAAAATACAGCACCAGAGTGTTCAAAATAAATTTAGTATAGAACCACAAAATGATAAGTAAAGTCAACAAAGGGTTTTTTCAAGTAAACTATTTCATGAAGTAAGACACATAAGACAAAAAAAAACAGTTGTACTCCCCTATAAAAATACAAAACTCACCTTTGCCAATATGTCTTCTAGTATTTTCAATGGTGGAATTTCTGTTCACATTACTCAACTGTCCCAAACAAAAACGATCACTGTTATTGCTAGGATTTGTGAATCCATCTACTATAACCGATGTCGAGTGACAATGGAACACTTCACCTACCCGACTGTTAAGTTCGTAATACGCTATGGAAGCCCAAAAAGGTTGCTCCTGATAAGCGACGGCCTGGACATCTTGACTAAGAGACGGCTCAGGGCTGGGATTATTATTAGTGTTTGTGGCACTTTCGTCTGTCGGACTGTAGGCTGGCGGAGGGGTTTCTGCCAAATTCGCATAGGGCGACTGAGGATTGTTGGAAATGACACTGGCTGGACTAGAAACGTTTGAGTTTGGTGAACCCGGGTTCAAATGGTTTGAGTTAAATGTACTTGAAGAGTAACCAACATTGTGAGGCAAAGTGGGCTCCACCAGCTGCTGGAAAGGCAGCAATGAGTGACCAGGTACAAAGTCATTGTGTCTTGGGACCAAAACAGGGGGTAACACTGGGCTTTCCACTCTCCTATAATGGTAAGGATTTATACACACTTCCTTCTGCTTGGCCGAGAATGGATACTGGCAATGCTCCAGTGGTTTTAGCTCATGCTGGTTTTGGAGATCAGGCCATCTCCACACGCGACAGTATATAACGTGCGGCAAGCCTTTACGGTGGGAAACTTGAAGCCGTCCATCTAAGCTCCTCGGAATCGTTACACATTTGCTAGGCTGTCCAGGACATGACAATGCGTGTTCTAACTCTTCTATGGCACCTTTCCGTTTTTTTAACTTCTTCACCAAACTGTCCACGGCTTTTTCTGCCCATTTTTCTTCCTCGTCACCTTGCTTCCAGCCGAGGAGTTTTTTCACCGCCGGGCTCGTGAACGAAAAAAGACTATTTAGTGTCGAAATTGGTCCACTACTTGAAGATTCGCCTTCATCGGTTTCCATATTAAAGCTACAAACAAACAACTTTGTTACGTTAAGCGGGCGCGTGTACTCTAGATCAGTCGCTCTTAAACCTGCGAAAATGGCCAAACGGTTTAACAGAGCAATTGATCTAGTAAATAACAAACATTCAAGTGACTCACGAATTATTAAAATGAGTCACATAAAATTCATAATCCGTAGCCATGATTTAAAGTGGCGCTAAGCGCACATTTCAAACAGAAGTGCAGCACTAAGAGCGCGCTTCCGATAAACTTGGTATTTATCAGGAGCAACTGAATAGGCTTTTTTGCGAACAACAAAAATAAAGCAGATATGACCGAGTCAGAGAGCATTTGATGCCTCGCTAATGTCCACCGCTGCAATCCTGTCCCGTATTAACCAACCACGGAGGTGCTTACCTTTATCGAGTAGGAAATAACGCTGCTGGGACACCTCCGAGCACAATTTTGTCAGAAAAACGGCTAAAATGTCTAAAAAATATCAACACACAAACGACTTTGTGACGCCAGGTCAAGCGATCACTCGCCTTTCAGCCGTCACGTCAACGATGGCGCTGTAGACGAGCTGGCGGGATATTCGAATGGACGATCGATACATTATTAATGATACGATTCCTTGTATGTGTTTTCTAAAGTAATCGCAATCGGGCTCCTTTTAGTTACGTAGCAGAAAAACAATTTTTGTACCGCTGTATCTGTAACTGTAACTTCATATTCTTATTTTCTTTTATTTCAGGGCAGCAATAGTCAACTGTTCTTTTCAGAAACTGTAGGATGCTTTGTCCGTAATAAAAATGTGATTTAATGGAGTCAACTTAAAAAGTTGAGCAAACGGGTCTTTTTTCTTACAATCAAGAAAAAAAAAACTTTTTAACGGATTAGAGAAAATTCGCAAGCGTATGATTGGTTGCATATAATCGCGCCGTGTTGTCACCTAAACATTTAATGCATTGGCGTTTCTGCAGCCAATATGCAAATTAAACGTTACTGAATATACTTGCTTTTTCTCACTGCATCTATGTACGAGCAAAATAATATTTGACAGTTTCTTATTACCTTCCTTTATGTGGCTGAATTATCTTTCTTTAATTTTCAGACAAAGTTGCTTTATTCCCTTTCTCAAATTTCATACGATTTACTGTTTTTATAATTTATAAAAAATATATTTTTGGTGTCTAGTTTATAAGTCAACTCTTAGGTTAACCAAACAGACAGTTATGGAACTGATGTATTAAAACAATGTCTATGTATTTATTTTTAAAATTAAACAGCAGTGTGTTCCCAATTATGTTTGTGAAAAAGTTACCTATTTCAGAGACATTCATCTTTACAATACAAGGAATTGTGACAATTTTATGTTAAGAGAATGTTATTCTAGTCAAGTACAAAACTCTATATTACATAAAGACCTAAATCATTTTAACAATTTACCGCATGATATTAAAAACTGTGATACTCTTAATTAATTTAAAAGACTTTTAAGACACGATGTATTGGCAAAATTCTGATATCTGTGTGTTTGGCTTTTGGTTTCCGTTTATCTGGAATTTTATATTTTATATTTAGAATTTGTATTTTGTATTTTTTATATTTTTTATGTAGCTTAATGCTAAAGAAAGATTATATTATTATAAGTTTTCTGGCTGAACTTAAATTCGCCTAGAGCAATAGATAACGTACATTTTATTTGTATTTTTTTGTCAATAAAGGCATTTATTATTATTATTATTATTATTACAGGGTCCGTCAAAAGAAATGCGAAAAACTTAAGGGCACGTCCTTGTTTAAAATAAAGTGTAACTTGTTTTATAAAAGCTGGGTCGATGGAAAAGCATTAGTGTAATAATGTATTTATTTTGACATCTTGACAATGAAAGCAGATAAAAGCAATAAAATATTACGGAAGCATTATATTATAAACACACACTTTCCGCATATTTTGCTATTTGTTTTGGAACGAGGACGGAATTCAATTAAACTAACCCTATCATTCTTCTTAACTAAATTTAAAGAAAAACTTATGCAATGGCTAACTGTTTCAACTCATTAATGTCGAACAACTCTAACACAGAAACGGCAGATATGCCCTTTATATGCGAACGGAAATTCCTCGTAAGTTTGTCGTCTTAATATACAAGCGTCTGCTAATCGTGGAGTTCCTCATAACAGCTTGTCTATCAGGCTACATTAAAAAAGAGTTTTGATATAGCATATATCGCAAAGTTCGAATACCCGTATTAGAAGTTGCTGTATTGAACTGAGGTAGCTTTTACTTGATGAAAATCCATCTACCAAAATAAATAAGAACTACAAGTTCAGATTTTCACGAAATTATATATTTTGACATGACAATTGCTTCGACGACACCGTGTCTTTATCAAATGTTCAAAAGAAGTTGCTGGTGTTGTTGAAGGACAACCGGAGGCAATTACTATGAAAATTGTAGCAGAATTAAATACTGATGCATCAATTGTATGGATGATATTAAAAGAACAACGGTTATAGCCATGCTACTTACAGACCTTCGTGCGGTTACTTTTTGCTTTATCTGTCCACCCTCGAAGTAGTTGGAAATGAAAAAAAAAATCAGGTCTTATTCGACTCCATTGAAAGTACTTATATACTTATTTTAAGTATTTATTTTCAATCAATGAGAACGTCCTCAGCATGATAGGCGGCAAACCAAACTGTTCAACTGTTCAACACCATAAAGAGAAGAAAAGTAGAACACTTGTATCTGCGCTCATATAACGGTAACGGTAAGTCCTATGCTATAAAATTGAAATTTGCCTCCCTTTTAACCCTCCACGAGGCACATAATGACAAATGGCCCTGATCCGATGCCGGTATCCATCTTTTTTTGCGATTTTCGACTATTTTTTGGACCTTGCTTTGAAGCACGATAAGTATCCAAAATTTAAAGCAATCGACTTCATTTTTGCAGATATATGCAGCTTTGCCCCATGACGGAATCTATTGAAAAAGAGGGGGGGGGGGGTCGACGAGTATTCTAAAAAAAATAAAAATCGCGTGTGCAAGCAAGGGTCTACAAAAAAGATCATTTTTCACAAACCGTTCACGAGACCAAAAAAATTCTTGAACCAGAAGACCTAGAAGATACGGCTCCATAAGCTATTATTCTAGACAATTTTTCTAAAATATACAGGGTGCGCCGCAATTTAAAAATAATCTAAAAAATGGGCCTTCTATTATTGAAAATTGGTTATAATTGAAAGACTATGATTAAGATCTCACTTTTGTTTATATTGCGATATAGCCTGCATAGACAGCCAAAACTTTTGTATTTAAGGTTTTTAGATATTGTACAGAGTGTTCGCGATATTCCGTGCCATATAAAAAAACATAAGTGCCCCAAATTTGTAGCTACCGACTTCAGGCTTGGTAGAGAAGTAGAAGTCGGGACCCGCATTTAGAAATTTTTAAACTGGGATTAACAAAATAACGGAAAGTTTTTTTTTAATTTTTGATTTTTTTTTGGTAATTTTGGCATCCAGAAAATCATTTTTTCCTCCAAAACCATTCATCCGATCGGAAAATTTTTACAACCGTAATACGTGGGAGACCCGGCGCTATAATCTTTTTTTCACGCATTTTTTCGATTATATACGAGGTGTTTTAGTTATGGACAAAAATCTAAAAGACCCTGAAAATTATTCTTTTAGAGAGTTAAGAAAAATTCGTAGAAAAATAGCTAATCAGTGTTATAGACCGTATCAAGGGCTACAATTTTTGTGTTTACGGTTTTCGTCTATCTCATTCGCTTTTCAAGACATTTGCAAGAATCCAAATGAAAGTCACCATTTGTTACCACGTACTGCATGGTTTCAGAAAACAAGTAGTTTCTTGAAAATCATTTACTCCATTGGAAAAATTCGTATACCAGAAAGCTAAGGAGATCCAGGGTTATATCCTCTATTGCCAACATTCTTGGAATTGTATACAAGGCACGTCGCTTGAGCGCAAAATATTCTAATAGATCCTAGAAATTTTCGCTTTTGTGGGTGAATTATTGGCGATAAACGAAAAACTTTTAAAGATGTGATAATTTGATATGAACAGTATCGTAAACTGTGCCGAGAAAGAGTTTAAGGTTTCGTCTATAATTAATTATAATTAATCTTTAGTTTATTAATATTTAGTTTGCCGTAATTTTCAAGTTCCACGAGATGTGAAGGACCCTTTATACAGGGTGTATTCACAATAAAATGACATCGATTTTGCGAAAGTTCCATAGCGGTCCGCAGGAGCACGAATTTTAAGACGAAAATATAGCATAAAAGATTCTGGAATGAATATCTTATCATTGTTACTTAGCAGAAAACTACTGTTTGATGAACATAGTATGCCAGGAACGACCTCATCCGATAAACAAACTATTTCGTACCCACATGCAAAAACTGCATTATATATTGCCATTACTATTAATGCCTCCTATGCAGAGGTAATAACAGTAAAACTGGGTGTAATGGGGAGTATCAATCAGTTTAAATGTATTATCTGCTGACGACCATTCATATATTTATTACCAATGTTCATCTCGCCTCCTCTCTTCCGGTAATCAAGCATTTTTTTAACTGCAGCTAAAGATCTGTCTAAGTCTTTCGAGCGAAACAGAAATTCATCCAGTCTTCGAATTTCCTTGGTCTGCCGTATACAGGATCTTCTATTTAACAAGAACGAGTTTTTTTTAATTAGAAAAATCATTTTTTGATGGTCTATTGTGACCACCCTGTGAAATATATTTTCGTCATAGATAAGTCATAGCATAGCAGTCATCGATGCATAATAAAAATTTCCAATTTTAGGTTTTAACTGTAAATAACACATTTTTCCGCAAAAAAATGGAAAAGTTCATTTTTCTCAAATACTACTCAAAATTTCGTATACTATGTAATGCCAAAAAGTACTCAAAATCAAGCGAGTAATTTGATTTTATATAAATATTAACAGTATTCAGTTTAAAAAAATAAAGTTGGGCCCAAAAAGTATTATAAATAAAATATGTAGTTAGGGTCAAACTGTTTTTGTATTTAACTGTTTTTTTTTAGTGTCGTACTTAAGGTATATAGGTATAGTTGCACTGGATCGAGAACTGACTGCTTAATTCGAACAGTTCGCCGGTATGTGTCTGTTAAACCGCTGCAGATATTTTCAAAAATATTTTTGCTGAGTGCTCTTCGTTCTGGAAATCTGCCTTGGTCTAGTTGGTTCTCTTAAATTTTGCCTCACTCTCCCATAAACATGTCAGTTAATTCAGCCAACTTCTAATGACAAAAGATCATTTGAAAGGCGTGCAATGTTTAACAAACATAGCAGAACTATAAAGGCAACAAATGACAAAATACTTATAAATAACTTGTAACAAATAGTAAAATTTCAGTTTCTAAGACAAACAAGTCAATGGCATTGACAACTTTTAGACCAGTTAATACAGGATGTTTTCTAATTGAATATCAATAATTAGGGGGAGTTTTATGGGTTCATTTTAAAAATATACGAACA